AGGGCAGTCTTCGCCAGCCATTGTGCTGCCCTTCCGTGCACACCGCGGAATAAACTCAGATTTATTTTGCATGACCTGTATGACCTGAATCCCTGTTCCCCCGCCGCTCCGAGCCCTCCGAGCCGCCTCCGAGCCCCCCGAGCCCCCGAGCCCGGTTCGGCGGCTCGCGCCCCTCCGAGCCCTCCGGGCACTCCATCCCTTGTGAGCCCTCCCGAGCCCTCCCGAGCCCACCAGCACCACCCTCGTGCCTCTCTGCCCTCCGAGCCCTCGACCCCTCCGAGCTCTCCACCCCTCCCAAGCCCCCACGAGCCCTCCTACGCCTCGCTTTTGGCCAGCCCTCCCAGCCCCCACCCCTCCGAGTGCCCTCATGGGCCCTGCCGCCTGACACCTCTATCGGTGGAGGGCTTTATTAGGTCACGGTCCACACTCCCGCCCTCCCGACCCCTCCACCTGAGCCCTGGTCTGACAGCCTGACAGCAAACCCGGACAGCGCCTGACAGTGCCCGACAGCCTGACAGCGTTGACAGCACTTTCTCTGACAGTCTGACAGCACGTATCTGACAGCCTGACAGCAGAGTCTGACATCAGAGGGGCTCCGTCGCTGTCAGGCCCTAACGTGACAGCCTGACAGCTGCCTGACAGCCCGACAGCACAGCAGTGGCCTGACAGCAGCGCTGACAGCCCGACAGCCCGACCACCCCAGCAGCACAGACCGTACACAGCCGTGCAGCCTCTTTCTTGCGCCCCATGTGAGTCATGGGCTGGTCATGGGTCTCTCTCTCAACCCTCCGTCCCTCCCGCCCCACCTCTGCGGACCCCTCTCTAGCACCGGCGGCTGTGCTACTACCAATGAAGCTACCAGCTAGCCTTCTGGGGCCCTACAGTCATATGCCTACGGCGTCTGGGTGGGGGTGGCCGCCGCCGTCTGTGCCGCGCTGCCGCCGCCACCGCCTGCGCCTGCGCCGCCATCTGCGCTCCCCAGGCGGACCCCTTCTAGGCAGAGTAGAGACTAGAGTATGTGTAGTAGAGTCCTGCTGGTCTCCTCTTGATAATGTCATAAGTGTGGATAGTGTGTCAGAGCCTGACAGCACCCCGACAGCACCAACCGACAGCACCTGACAGCACCGGCGTCTCTGACAGCAGCAGCAGCCCGACAGCTCTGACAGCTCCGACAGCGTCTGACAGCAACACCCGACAGCTCCGACAGCACCCGACAGCTACAGATCCCCTCGCCTGTCAGACACGCACCTGACAGCACCCGACAGCACTGACAGCACCTGACAGCTGGTCTGACAGAGGCACCTGACAGTGCCTGACAGTGCCTGACAGCCTGACAGATCACCTGACAGCACCTGACAGCCTGACAGCCAGGGCTCAGCCCTCCACACCCCTACAGGTACAGTGGCATCCCTACCCCTCCCGCCGTTTTAGGGCCTCCTGACCCGCGCTCCGCCCCGCAGCGGCCCGCGAGTGCTCCGCAGCAGCCTCGCTGGGCCAGAAGATCGGCCCGCGAGGTGGGGTGCTAGTCTGGGAGCGGACCGCAGTTCCCTTGCTCCAAGCGCTTGCGCTTCGGCGGTAGTGATCTGATCACCCGAATGCCCACGTAGCACGTCGGATCGCTCCTCATTGCAACCCTGTCCCTCGATCGGGTAAGAACCACATACACTGGAAGCCGTCGTCGCCCGGGCGGCCGCAGGCGGTGCCATCAACCCACTCTCGGCACCGCTGCACGTGCGTGCTCCCTCTCCCACCCAACTCGGCTCCACTCTCGTCCACCCGCGCCCACCCCATCATCTGCTCTCAGGCTGATTGCGGCGTGTGTTGCGCAATGCCGACCCACCAGACGCTGGCCAGAGCATGATTGTGATGCCTCTGTCTGGGCCGGGGGGGCGTTCGACAGCGCGCGAGGCTGCCTCCCTGCCCTTTGCGACGCTTGCGACCACTGCTGAGTTGCATGCAGTACAGAGTAGCAGTGGTGGGGAGGGCTTGCGCCCCCCCCCCCCCTGGGCAGAATGGTAAACTCGTGTCTACTCACCTCGTCGGCTCCATCGGCTGCCTCTCCTCGTGCGCCGGCTGCCTCTCCATCCAACCGCTTCTGCGTCCTTCTCTGCCCGGTGCTCGCGATGTCGCTCTGCCGAGAGGGTCATCGCCGGCGTAGGCGGAGCGGCGGGCCCTTCGTTACAGAGACAACAAACGGTTACTCGATCGTGTTCAACGAACGACGTTGAACAGTGTTCAACGTCGTTGCACACAAGTGGAGAATGGCCGTAGCTCCTCTCCACGAGCGATTGGGAGGACGTACCAAGTATCGATTCTGTATAGAATTGCAAGGCGCACACGCTGGTGCAGGCGGGGAGTCGTCGATCCGACTCGTTCCGACGTGAAGTCGACGTGAAGGTTTGGCAAACAGGGCGATTTTGCCACATTTTGCCCTCTCGCGCGATCTTCTCGCGTCGGCAAGCGCGCGGGCCAGGATGGGCGAGCCGGTCCCGCCACGCTGGACGGGCCAGCGGCTGGCACGCGCCGGCCACCCCGGCGGCGCGGCGGCCTCATCGCGCTCGTCGTCTGCGAGGCCACCGCTCGGCGTCGCCGCGTCCGACGGCGATGGCGCTTGGCTGTGAGGTGGGATGGCGGCATGGTGCGCGCGGACGTGGGGGTGGTGCGGGGTGCGCGTGCCAGCAAGCATAGTTTCACCTCCCCAACCCCGCAGGCGCGCCGACGTGCTGCCCGAGCGCGTTTGGGGGCAGCAGCAGCTCCTCGCGAGGCGCCTTCGGAGAAGTGCCACACCCCTTTCCCAGCCGCGCGCGAGTTGAGCTCCGATTTGCGCTCTTTTTCGCACACGCCCGACACTAGTAGGTGAGGATCGACCATCCTCCGCTAGCAGGGCTTCGTCGGGCGCGTCTTCGTCGAGCGGTGGTGCATCTCCCATGCTCCCACCCGCGCCCTCCTGGCAGCCCGCCCGCGGCCCACACCGACGCCCTCACGGGCTCACCCTAGTCGTAGGTGCGGTTTTTTTGCGTGCCCCCCGTCGATACGGGGCGCTGGGCGATGGCTGGGCTTGTCGCCGGGCGAGCTAGCCCCTCAGCCGGCCGCGGAGCGGAGGTGCGAAATCGAGGCGGCGCGGCCCCTGCGCGCAGCCTGTCCGGCCGGCGGCGCGCGCATGGTTCCGTAGCCCGTCTAGTGCCTCACTGACCGACTCCAGCGCCACGGTGTATGTGGCCGGTGTGGTACTGGGGCTGGGCAGCCTTGGGGCCGGCGGGAACCGCCGTCTAGCGGTCGCACTAGTCTCTTTTTGTTGTGCAACCTGTTTGTTCAACGGTTGGCTCCGGCTCAGGTCGTGGGGCATAGCTCGGGTGTAAACGGGGTCTGGGGAGGAAGCCCCAGCGGCCCGCCGCAGGCGCCGCCGGAGGCTGGCCCGCCGCAGGCGCCGATTTTTTGGCGTTTTTTCTCAAAATTGAGGGATTTCTCATCTAAATTCTCATCCAAAATCGAGCTCGCTACGAGCTCTCTAACTGCACAGCATCTCCTCGTTGAGCCTAGCGGCGCCCGTATCGCCCACGCCCACATTCCTTTTTCTTGCCCTTGGCCCTTGCTGCACTCAGCCGCTCAACCTCCGCCAGTCTCTCCTTGCTCGTTGCTGGCGCTGCCGCCCCCAGTACTGCGATTGCAGCTCCTTGGCATGCCGCGCCGCCTCCATCTGCTGTGCTTCCCACGCTGCCGCTTCCTCTAAAGCAGCGCCGCCACTAAGCGGCGCAACCAAGTTCTCGCACTGTTTGCATGAGCATGTGTCCTGCTGGTGCGGCGCACAATCCGCGCGCGGCGAGTGAGAGTAGAAGACTGACAGCAGGAGCTGCAGGAGCTGCAGGAGCTGCGCAGATCGGATGGGTGGTGACGCCGTCGAGCGACGGCGCAAAGACCAATCACCACCGCTGAGAGCCGCGACACGAGGCTGCTGGCAGCTGCACCTGTGAGAGCCGCGACACGAGGCTGCTGGCAGCTGGCAGAGCGAATCGCGATTCCGGCGGCCGCCGTCAGCCCGCCGACACCGACGGCCTGTCTGAGGTCAAACTCCCACCGCACGTCGGACCAGTCGTGCGTCAGCCATGGCGACGAGACGTCTGTATGCAGACAGCCCGCCACCCGGGCGATAGAACATGCCAGCTGGGCTCTTCCAGGGCTCTCGTGGCCCGTGGCGCGTGCCCAGTGGAATAGGGCGGGCTGCGGCGGGCGCAATAACTATTCACAGCTAATGAAAACTATAAAAACTCGCGGCTTCATCAAAGTTTGAGGTGGCTTCGTCCTCAGCACCATCAAGACAGCTCTATTCACACCCTGTTTGGTTTGAAGCCACTCGGGGATGCCCGTTTACACCCAACCGACGAGTCGCTGGGCCCTCTGACCTGAGCCGGAGCCGTTGTTCAACCATACTTTGAGCCTTAATTACAGTGGCCAGGGGCGGGGCTTGCATTTTTGCCGTCGCCTGTCGCCGCTACAGCGCAGCACACCTATTCTTCTCAGAGAGACGGAGTTTGAGCAATAGCCCTTCTCTTTTCTCGCGTTTTCCTCCGTTTTCTTTCGCCGTTACAGGTTTCGAAGTAACTTGAAGCCCGAACCGTGTTATTTCCTCGAGCGCCGGATAAGCGATTCACACGAGGGCCGTCACAACGTGTTTCTCGGCTCGCCCTCGCCCGGCCCGGCGCTATGCCGGCGCGTTCGCTAGAGGCTGCTGCCGCAGAGCGGAGGCGCGTGCGTCGCCTCGCTACTCTCGCGGCGAAGCAGCTGCCGCCGCCGAGACGCGACGCGGCGTCTGCCGAGGAGAGAGAGCCAGCGCGGCGGTCGCCGACGCCGCCTTCGAGCTGTGTGCCACTTCTCGGGTGCACGACAGCTCTGCGCGGCAGCAGCATCAGCAGCCGCCGCACCGCCACCCGCCTCGCGCCTGTCGCGGCCGGAAGGGAGCACGCCGACGCTGCCGTGGTACCGAGGGCCGGAGCCCGACTCTCGTACAGTCGAGCGGCTCCGAGGCGAAGCGCTGACACACACAGGGCATGCCGCGCAAGGAGAGCGCGCCTCGAGGCCGGCAAGTGCGCGTACGTGCCGCGCGGTCTTGGTGGCGCGATTCATGACGGTCGCTCTCGCTGCCGGCCGATGAACCCTCGCCGCCCCCGCACCAGCGACACCGGCCGCGGCTCGCCTCCACGCGCCGGCTCGGAAGAGGGGCTGTCGGCGGCGCAGCAGAGCGGCTCGCCTCGGCGCTCGAGCCGCCGACAGCCCCACTCCTCGACGTGACGGCCGCTCCCGGAGCCAGCCGGTGCGCGCCCGACCCACGCCCCCTCTCGCACCCCTCCGACCCCCCCTGCGCGGCGCACCCGCCCGCTGTGCGCCGGCTCGAGCGCCTATCGCCAAATCGCGACGTTTGAGCGCAGCGCACGCGTCCCACACGTCACGCGCGCGCAGGAGAGCGTGCGGCACAGCAGTAGCGTGTACTCGCCGAGGGCATCGCGCCGAAAACCCCGCGCATTCCGCCCCAGCAGAGGCTGCAGCCTCTGCACAAGCTACACCACTGTAAGAATGGTGAGTACTTGGGGTTGAGTGGGCTTGCTTGCTCCCTTAGCCGGGAGCAAAAATGCAAGAATTAATTCGGGTTTGGGTCTCTGAGGTCGATACTAGCGTCCATAACTTGCCACAAGCATGCTTTACAAAAGTCCAGCGGAGGGAGACTCTCAGATCGGCTGTCCGCGCGCGCTGTGAACAGCGCCGTGGTTGAACACTGTTCAACGTCGTTGAACACGTAGCGAAAGAGAGACCGCAAAGACATTTCACCCCTTGGGCTGTTGTTGCAGACAGAAAAACAAATTTGGCGCGCGTGCGCGCAAGGTCTGCTAGTCTACATAGTAAAACCGCTCCATCACCCTCGCCCAGGGATCTACAATGCTGTCTTAAGGTCCGACAGGTTCGGCACCGGGCACCGCCTCGGTATACAAAATGCGCCTGCGGGCGGACCCTTACAGATCACAGATCACATAGTAAAACCGAGTTGGCGGGCGTCCACCGCCCCCCGACCTCCTCGTTTTAGATGTGCACTACTGGTGTTTGTTATGCACCAACCTCCTGGTGCTGTGCCGGTCAATGCTTCATCTGCTCTGTCAATGGTCCTGCTTTGCCTGGCTGTCTCGCCCCCAGGCCTCCCTCCGTTGTACCCGCAGGTGTGCGTTCCGCAGTCTGCCACCGTACCACCCGAGACAGCCACCCTCGAGCTCGCCGCTGCTGCCTCTGCCGTCACCAGCTCCCCTCGTGCTGCTGCCCTCTCCACCAGCACCCTCACCGCCACCGTCATTCCTGCCGTCCGCGCCGCTGCCCGGCGCGTCAGACGTCCCCGGCCCCGACGGCGGCGGCCTCTTCCAGAGAAGACCGGCGACACGGACGGCAATAGAATGCTCACAAAGGTGATTGTCCTGGCGCACCAGCCGAGCTCTGAGGCGTCGAACGAAGGCGTCTCCAGCAGGTTTACCGCCATTGATAACAGTGTGCCGGCTGCTCTGGGTGCCACGCGTACGCCGAGTCCGTGCTACAGCGCGACCAGTTTGCAAGCAGCAATGACCGCCCTTCCGTCAGATCAGCAGACTTTCGTCTTTGTCATCACGCGCACCTACGGAGACCAGCTCGAGCTTAAAGCAGCGGGCGTGACGTTCATCTTCCTTCTCGGTGATACCTACGGCCAGGACGTGGTCCTCTGGTCCATGCGATTGCAGGCACCCGTGGGCAACGGTGCGGGGCATATGGCAACGCTGTTAGCCAAACTGCTTCACGCTGCACCTTGCCATCGACCGAGGTGGAGGACCGCATCACGCCGCCATCCGAGCCGCCGGCAACGCCGCCGCCGCCTCCATATCCGCCGACAAAGGCACCAACTCCTCCACCACCGTCTCCAGCTCCATCACCGCCTCCACCCCCTCTCCCTTCGTTCCAGAGCCTTCACCGCCACCACCGGTTCCGTCACCGTCCCCAGAGCCATCGCCTCCTCCCTCTCCACCGCCACCCAGCCCACCTCCACCGTCCCCACCTCCGCCGTCGCCGCCGCCGTCGCCGCCGCCGTCGCCGCCGCCGCCGCTCTCGCCGCCGCCTCCGTCGCCGCCCTGGCGGCCGCCGCTCGCGCCACCTCGGCCGCCGCCGGCTCCACCGCGTTTGCCCTCACATCGTGGCATGCTCGGCGCAGCGCGTGGGCCGCCACCGAGTGGCTGCCGGTTCGAGCCGACTTAGCTTAGTTGGCAGAGCACCCGCTCAGTAAGCGGGAGGTCGAGGGTTCGAACCCCTCAGTCGGCTTTTGCTTTTCCTTTGTTCTTTGTTCCTCTCTTCCTCCCTTTTGCCTCCCCTTCTCTCTTCCCTCCTCCTTCCCACTCGTCCTCTCCTTTCCTTCTCTGCTCCCTCTCCTTCTCTCCTGTCCTCCCTTTCCTCTCCTTCTATCTTCCCTCCTCCCTCCCTCTCCTTCTCTCCTCCCGTTCCTCCTCTCCTCTCCTTTCCTCTCCTCCTTCCCTCTCCTTCTCTCCTCCCTTTCCTCTCCTTCTCTCCTTTCCTCTCCTCCTTCCCTCTCCTTCTCTCCTCCCTTTCCTCCTCTCCTCTCCTTTCCTCTCCTCCCTCCCTCTCCTTCTCTCCTCCCCGCCTAAGTCTGGCGCGAGACGATGGCCGGCGGGTGCCACAGGGTCCGCAGCAGCCTGCCAGCAGGCCCGAGCGGTGGCTCGCGACGCGACCCGGCTGTGCCGCCTCCTCGCCGCCGACTGCGTGCAGTGAACGGCGAGCGAGTCGCCCGCGAGCCATCCGCCACAGCCTACCTGTTGCGACGCTCTGATCGGCTCTGCGACCTCATCGCCAGTTGAGCTAGGGAGTGTGGCGATGGCCGCCGCAAATGCGAACGCAGGATGGCGGGTCAGAAGCTGAGCCGTACAGCGGGCGGCGCTGTATGAGGCCAGAGAGGACAGGGCAGCACTCTCTGCCAGCTCTTTGGCCACGGACGGCGCGCGGCCTACCGGGCCAGCTCACGATACGACGCGTCGGGGTACGGGGCGATTCCACGGAGTTCTGCGGGCAAATGGCGGGCGCGCGCACCTGACGCCCAAACGACGCCGTTAACCCCACAGTACGGCTCAGAACCCGCTCGTATGGGTCCATCGCCGATCGAATCGTCATCCGGACCAGCCTCGGCTCGTTCTGGCCCGTTGGCGTCCGGAGCTCGGGCGTTCGAGCGGCGTCGGGGTTATGTTCTCTTACTTGAGCACTTGAGCACTGGATAGGGTCGATTCCGCGTGGTACGGGACCCCTCTTACTTAAATGAGAAGGACAGAGTCCACCTGTGGCCACCTTGCCGCAAAAAGCCAGCCGCGTGACATTGGCCGTCCCACGGCACGGGATACTTGCCGGTTGTGGCCCACGGGATACTTGCCGGTTCCCATGTGCCGAAAAGGCGAAGAAAAGTCTCGGACTGGACACCAACGCGGTATGGGTCACCATCACCTCCCTCAACATATGTTGATAGAACAGCGAAGAACCTAGTAAAGAAAGAAAGAAAACAGACAACACAAACGAGGAATGGGGGAGGAGGACAGGGTCCACACCTGCACGAGCAGGATTTTGGAAGGACGATCAGTCAGGGGCACAGGTGGGGCTCTCCTGCTCCTACATGGACACGACAGGCTCGCAGCGCGGTGCAAAAGAACCTCAAGAAAGAAAGAAAACGGCGCCGGAGTTTCTTTTTCCGCGTTGGCAGGAGGCCGAATCCTAGACTAGAGAGCAGTCGGACGGGGTTGGCTCTCTCAAAGCATGCCCGACTCGCCCGCGCGCGTCCTCGTCGTCTACGGCTCCGAGGGCGGCAACGCGCGCCGCGCCATCACAAAGTGCGTCCGCGCGTGGGAGCGGGAGTGCGACGGCAGCTACGCCGTCGAGCGCGTCGTGGCGGGTTGCGAGCTCGACTGCCCCGTGGATGAGCTCGCCTCGCGCTACGAGGTGCTCATCGTCGCAACCTCGTCCTTTGGCGAGGGCGACCCGCCGGAGAACTACCTCCCCTTCCTGCTCGGCCTGCTGCGCGCAAAGGAGGCGGCGGCCCGAGGCGGCGGCGGCGGCGGCCCGCCGCTGCGGGGCCTGCAGCACGCCGTCCTCGGGTTTGGGCAGTCCGTCTTCGCGACGTACCAGAACTGCCCGCGCTGGACCGACAAGCTGCTTGGCGAGCTCGGGTCGCGCCGCTTCGTCCGGCGGGTCGAGGCGGAGGAGGCGCTGCCGCCGCTGCGCGCGCCCCTTGCTCACGTCTTGCCCTCTCCGCCTCAGGTCGAGGTGGACGAGGCGAACGACGAGGCGCCGGCGGACGAGGGCGGCGACTACTTCGGCTCGGGCGGCGCGGGGAGCGTTCGCGACGTGGGCGCGCTGCCCGAGGGGGCGCTCGACCCGGACGCCGGCCTCGAGCGGCGGCGCGGCGTCGACCGCTTCCGGTTCGAGGTGCAGTGGGCGCTGACGCACGCGCGGGACACGGCGGGCGAGCCTCCTGTCTGCGGCTGGGGGTCGCCCGGCTCGGAGCTGACTGAGAGGTGCGAGGCGGAACTGCTCGAGGCGGCCGCACTCCTCCGCGCACGGTGAGAGGAAGGAGGAGCCAGTGCGTGAAGGGGCCCGCGTTGACTGCAGGCGCGGCCCGAGGTCGTCCGCGACAGGGCCCTCCTCGCCGGCCCTCTCCTTCGGCTCCTCCTCGCGGGCGCGGCGGCCGCCGCCGCCGCCGCCGCCGCCGCCGCCGCCGCCGGGTACGAGCTGCGGCTCGCGTGGTGAGAGGCTTGCGCAGGCGGCACGCACTCCTCGCCCTCCGGCACTGAGAGCGAGCGTGGCGGTGCGAGCGCGTCCGCGGGCACGACTGAGACAGTGCCCGCCTTCGCCGTCGCTTCCCTAGCTTCCGAATCCGAAGGTCTCGTGTGTGCACTCAGTTCTCTCTCTTGCATGAGGACGAGGTCACTGCACGCGTGCGAGTCTGTGGTGGGATCCATGCGCATGATTGATGTCTCCGATGTGGCGCATATTGCATGCACGACCTGATGTCAGGGTGTCGGCCATTATCTACAAAACGAACATCTCTTCTGTTTGTTTTCTTTTGCCCGGGCCCGTCAGTTGGCCGTTGCGCTTTTTGCCCGGCCGCTCTTTTTTGCGTTCTCTGGCCTTTCTGTTTTTTCTGCTCCGATTGGTCGCGACTGGTGATGAGTGTTATAAGCTGAGGTCAACGCCGGGTGCGGGTAAATCTCGGCACGGATCGGCACGTGTGGTAGCGTGCGATGAGGCCTTGCCAGCTCCTGGTGGTGCCCTCAAGATCGCCGCGCGCATTGGCCGCTCCGCCGACGTTGTGAATGACCCCTCCGGGGAGATCGTTCACACCTCGAAAAACCACAGAAACCAGAGTGTCTGGACCGATATATTCCCATGGCCCGGATGTTTTTAGTTTTATGTGGGATGTGTCGAAAAAGCAGAATACAGAGCTCCTCGTCCTATATATAAGTCAGTATCAGACGGTTTCTTCATTCTTGATAGCTGTAAGCTGATATGCCAGGGCGCAGGGGCAGGGCGAAGAGAGCCTGGTATCTCAGTATGTTATATCCTAATGATATAACATAGTAGGATCTGGTTTGTGCATACCTCAGAGTATATCACACCGCGCGCTCGACACCGATTGCTGATATGGCAATCGAATCGTGGCGATCACAAGAATCACATTACATCGCATTCTCGCATTTGTCACCCAACGGGCTCCACATTCACACACTTTGTGCGGTGCACCAGCGCCGCCTCAGCCGAGAAGCTCGACTCGCGACTCCGCACAATCACGTCGGCGCGCGCCAGCAGCACCCACTCGGCGACCGCCCTCTGCACGCCTCTCAAGTCGCGCTCCTCGCGTCCCTCGCCTGCAGAGCCGTCGCCGCCAACCCCGTCCCCGTCGCCAACCCCGCCCCCGTCGCCGCCGCCGTGCCGCCCCTGCGGCACCTCGATGACGGCGTGGCTGCCGCCGACGCGGCCGCGAAGCTGCCTCCGCGCCCGGCTGCACGAGGGCGGGTGGGGGGTGGGGCAAGCTGGGCGAGGGGAGAGGAGAGGACGGAGCGGGAGAGGACTCGGAGCGGGAGGGCGAGAGGGCGGGAGGCGGGAGAGCGCGCGCCGCTGGTCCGACGCCACGAAGAAAGCCGTCTGCTTCCCGGCGGCGGCGGCGCGTGCGGCGGCGTCGAGCATCGCCGCCGCGAACTTGTCGACGTACGCGTCGTCGTGCGCCGACGGCGCCGAGTTGAAGAAGCCGTTGACCTGTCGGCCGGGAGAGGCGGCTCACGCGGCCTCCCTCCTCCCGCCTGCGCGGGGGGGGGGAGCGAGAGCCGCCGCGTCGAGCGCGTCGCCCTGGCGCACGTGCACGCCGACGAGCTGCAGCCCGGCGCCGGCCGCCGCCGCCGCCGCGCGCGCGGCGTCGATGCGGGCGAGGGCGGGGGCGAGGAAGGCGCTCACTCCGGCCGACGGGACGAGGGCGCGGTAAAAGGCTGCCCTCTTGCCCGCGTCGAGCCGCATCTCGTACCTACAGCACGCACGCCGCGGCCGCCTCGACACGCGGGTGCGCCTCGCGCGCGCGCGCCCAGAGCCGCCGCCGCACGTGTTTGCCCGCTCCTCCTTTGCGTCGGGCGACCATGTCGGCGGCGGGCGACAGAGCTGCTTGCCTCGCAGCGTCGCCGGGAGAGACGCGCCGGCGAGCACGACGACAGGCGCCGGGTCGTCGGGCAGGTGGCGGAGGTGCGACGCGTAGAGGCAGCACCGGTTGCCCAGCGGCTCGTACCGAGAGAGCACGCCGCGCTCGCTCGCGCACGCCGACGCCGCGATCGCCGTCAGCGAGTTGACGCGGAGCGAGCCGACGCCTCCCAGCAGGTCGCGCTCGAAGAGGTCCTCAAGACTGGCGCCGCACGACTCGCTGATCTCCCAGCGGACGTGGAGTCGCCGGCCAACCTCGGCCGCGAGCCAGACGGCGCTCGCGATCGACCTGATGCGGTTGCCAAAGCCGTGGCGCGTGTGGACCACGAGAGCTTCGCCGCCGCCGTCGGCCGGCGGTGGCAGCGTGGGCGTCTCTCGCATGGATGTAGCTACCGGCTAAGCACTTAGCGCGGTGCGAGAGGCTAAAGGCCGCAGCGATTGCCTCCAGGATGTTGCACCAGCGACTGGCGGTCGCGAGTACTGGCGGTCACGAGTACTGGCGGTCGCAGTCCCCGCTCGCGGCCGGGCTGCAAGGTTGGGTAGAATTCTTTAGAAACGCGAGATTCATGGAGTGGCCACCGGCCCTAATGCAGGCTGGTGCACGAGTCTCGCGTCGCAGCGCCTTGCACTGTCGTCAACATACGCTTGCACCTTGCAGAAGGAACAGGTACTGCGTACTGGGCTACTGGCGCCCGTGTCGGAGCACTTGGTTGGGGGTGGGTGGGGAGAGAGAGAGGTGGAGCAGGGGGTGGAGGAGGAACTTGGGGTGGAAAAAGTGCTCCTCCGGGAATGACGGAATGTACGTAAGAGCTACTGAGAGAGTGAGAGAGAGAGCGCGCGTAGGGCCTTCAGGGGCCTAGGTAACACCAGAACACACCCCTCTCCCTTTTCTCCCAGTAAGCTAAAAGTACGTACAGCGGCGCCCGTGTTTAGTTGAAGGCGGGTAGAATGCGAATTTTCGACGTAGTATCTTGCAACAGAATAGATGCCCTCGGACGCCGAGCAGGGGGGCGCAACGCTGGAGGAGGGCGCTACAAAGAAAAGCGGTTCGTCCAAGTGGGCGGTGCCTCTCATCGTCGTGGGCGTACTCGCTGCTCTGGGCCTCGGGTTGGGCCTCGGGTTGGGGTTGGGCCTGAAGAGCGGCGGTGACGATGACGACGCACACGGCGCAGCCACGCCTACAGGCATGGCTCACGACGACGACGGGCACGACCATGACCACAGCACTGACCATGCCGGCGAGGAGCACATTATCGACGAGGGCCAGACGACTGTCGCTTGGACCGCCGGCTTTGACGAGGAGGCAAAGCGAACTCTTGGCGGGTTCCACGCCGGTGACAAGCTGGTCTTCACCTGGGACGAGTGCTGCCACAACGTGGTGCTGATGCCTGACAAGGCGGCGATGGATGCGTGCGACTTCACCAATGCTCAAGTGCTCGCCGGCGAAGACGAGTCCGGGTACAGCTACAGCTTCCCCGAGGGCGCGTCCGCTGTCTACTTTTCGTGCAGCATCGGTCTTCACTGCCAGAATGGCCAGGTGCTGGCGGTCGCTGCGCACACGGGCGACGATCCACATGGTTCTGAGGACCTCCATTCCGGTCATGAACCAGAGGAGGACGATCACTCTGAAGGGGATGGCCACGACCATGACCACGGAGGCAGCGGCTACGGCCGCAAGCTCTGAGCACGACGAAAGACATACTGTAGGTGATCTGTGTTCAGACAGCACTGTAGATCCCTGGGCGAGGGTGGTGGAGAGGGCGGTATATGGGCGGAGCAACCACCTCCTCCCGACGTGTCGGCAGGCAGGATGTCATCCCCCGTGATCCAGACCGCCCGTTGGAGGCAGGCCGCTCACACTGGAGGCGTGCACGTCTTCCTGTTATCCAAAGAGCCAAGTGGGTGGAAAAAAGTAAACAGACAACCCAAGGGAGCCAGTGGAAAAAGAAAGAAAGAAACCATACAACCCAAGGGAGGGATGGGAGAACGGCACGCCGCCACCACACAGGGATTTTTTAAGGAGAGGAGTGTGATGCGCTAGCCGTCGCCCACCCTGGGGAGTCTGCCTCTTCGTATCTCTTTTCGCAGTCTCTCGCCGCTTCTCGCTGCAACCTTCATGCCACCTCGCGGCCGTCCCACTCTCGCCGTTCTCTCCCTTGTCACTTCCTCCTCTCTGTCGCGTCGTTCTCTTCTGCCTCGTCCTGCGGCGCCGCCGCCTGCCGGTCCCTTGTTCTCGCGGCTTCTTTCGCCTTTCGGCGTAACTCCGTCCTCCTCGCGGCGTATCCTGGCCCCTCAAGTCTATCGAGCTCCCCTCGCGCAAGGACCACATTTCTGACTCCCACTCCGATCATTTGCCTACAGGTCATGTTGTTGCTCAGGTCCACTCTCTCTTCGAACACTCGTGCCTCTACGGATGATGCCGGCGCTGGGGTCCCCAGTGGGTGGCAGACTGGCATCTCGCGTGCATTTTTTATTTTCCCTGGGGCATGCCCTGATTGCACATGGTTGAGCGATCAGCGTCGCAGCGCCTTCACGACCTGTCGTTGACAGCCCATTAGCTGACGGGCTGTGCTCATTTGCATGGCGCCTTGCACTGTCGTCGACAAGCGCGCAGCTGACGGCGACGAGGCGGCGGCGGCCGCCGCCGCTCTCTCTCTGATTCACAGGCATCGCGCGCTCGCCAAGACCGTCCGCAACTCGGACTGGCTGTCGCTGCTCCGCCGTCTGAAAGCCAGTGGCCGCTTTCGAACCTCGGCCAGCCTCCTGCCGCCATCAGGACACATGCACCTCTATGGCCGCGTCCGCCCGGGCGCCGTCGGCTTGATCTTCGACGGCGGTGCGAGAACGACCCTTTCTCTGGGTCGAAACGCTCCTGGTTCCGGAGCCTGCTCGGAGCCTTGATTAGGTGCGGTCGACCTGCAGCACGCCCTCTGCTGGCCGTCGGGCGTCTTCGCCAAGACGGAGCACCACCTTCATGTCGGCGCCGACGGCACCGTCACGCTGAGCGGTCCATGCCGGCTACGCCTCTCCTCCCTCGAAGGGCTCCGCGCCGCCAACGAGGAGGCGGACCGCAGGCACGCCGTGTGGCAGCACGCTGGTGGCGAGCGGCCGGAGCCCTCGCTGTACAACGAGGTGTCCGTCGAGCTGAGCGGGAAGGACGTCGCCGCCATCTTTGTTCGCTCGCACGAGGAGCGGCACCTGGTGCTGGCTCTGGGCCTGCGCTCCCTCTTCCGGCACCTCTTCTGCGGCAGGCCCCTGCCGCTGCTGCGCATCACGCCCGAGGGAGGCGCGTGCGTCGTGGCGCACGACGAGCAGCTCGCCCTGCTGAGCGCAGCGTGCGCGCCGGGAGGGCTGCCGTGGGCGTGCGACGCGTCGGGCGTCGCCCCGCGGCTGCCCATCGACGCGAGCGACTTCCCGGAGCTGCAGCCGCAACAGCGGCTCGCGCTGCACGCTTCGCTCGGCCTCACGCACGCGTCGCTGCGCGCCTCGCTCGCAGAGGCGCTCTCGCGCCCCGCCAGCGACCAGCCCGCGGCGCTGGCGCCCCTCCTCGCCAGCTGCCTCGTCGCCGCCGCCAGCTCCGGCAACGTCGCCTCGGCGCGCGAGATTGTCCGTGTGTCTGCGCCGCTGCTGCTGGCGTCCGTCGCGCCCCCGCCAGCGACAGCTGCCACCGCCCCCGTCCCAGCCCCCGTCCCAGCGTCGGCCCCCGCCCCCGCCGGCCGGCCCGCGAGCTGCTCCCACCCCGGCAGCTGCCCGCCCCTTGCGGAGCCCCTCTTGCCGCCGCAGCCGCTCGCGCCGTCCAACGCCTACGCTGAGTGGTCCGGGGGCGGCTCCTCCGCCCTCGAGTCGGTCGGCTCGCTCCAGCGCGCGTGCGCCACGGCTCGCTCGGACGCGATGCTCGTCCCGCTCGGAGCTCAGATCACGCTCGCCGAGTTCGTCTCGGGCGGGACGGCGAGGCGGCCCTCCGCCCACGAGCCCTCTCCGAGCTGCCGAGCAAGTTTCGCGGAGCCTGCATGCAGGCGAGGCGGCTCGACGGCGCGTGCGAGTGGATCGAAGAGTGGCTCCGCCGATCCGAGGCGGACGCGGCGTGCCCGTCGCCCGCCTCGCTCGCCTTCCGGTTCGCGTCGTGGCTCGAGGCGAGGCGCGTCGACGGCAACTCCGACTGGCTCTCCCTCCTCTCGCTTCGTGTGCCCTCTCGGAACCCTCTCGGAACTTTCTCGGAACCTTCCCCGCAGGCTCTCCTTCCTCACGGGCCGCGCGCTGCGCAACCGGCGCCACTTCCTGAGCCAGCTCTACGCGCTCCGCCGCAGCGCGAGCGACGGCCAGGCGTACGTCGCGCAGCTCTTCGCGATCACCTCGCGGCTGCGCCAGCCGTGCTTGCGGCTGCGCATCCTGCAGCAGGCGCTCGGCCTCGACGAGTCTGATTGATTAATTAATTAATTAATGGATCAGTTTAATTAATTAATTAATTAGGTGCTCGGCCTCGACGAGTTTAATTGATTAATTAATGAATGAATGGATCAGTTTAATTAATTAGTCAATCAGGTGCTCGGCCTCGACGAGCGCTTCTCGCGCGACATCGTCCACGGCGTGATCTGCCTCGCGTGCGACGTGGTGGAGAGCATGGCCACGCGGGCGCCGAGTCGCGAGCCGAGGCCGCACAGCCCGCCCGGCGAGGTCGAGCCTCCGGGCGCGGGCGGCGCGGCTCGCGTGTCCGCGCGCAAGGCGACCATCGGCTTCCTCCTCTCGCTGGACTGACCTCCCAACCCCAACCCGAACCCTGACCCTGACCCTAAGGCGACCATCGGCCTCCTCCTCTCGCTCGACGACTTTGACGAGGCGACGCGCCTCGAGGCGGACGCGCTCTTCTTCCCTGGGCCAGGAAGCCCGCGCCCCAGGCCGAGCGACCCGGTCGGCGAGAGCGAGCGTCGGAGCAGGGTGGAGCACTTCTACAGGCGCGGTGGCGTGCTGCGCTCTGCCCACCACTCTGCAAAACTGCCCGCCACCGCTCAACGACCCCTTCATCGATCCGCTAGGGATGGCTCGGCTCCTGTCCTCGTCGGCACGGCTACCTCGCCCTCGTGACGATCCTACGCGCTCGCTCCGCATGACATGGATACGGCCCGCGCACACGACCTCACGACGGCTCTTGGTCCGTCTTGCATATGGCATGTGGCTTTATCAGCGGCCGCTCGGCCGCTGTGCATGTAAACCTTACAATGTGGAGCGCTGCAGCACACTGCTTCGGTGGGGCTCTATACCGGGTGTAAGAATTTAATACCGGGGATGTGGATACTCGTATGATAGTGCGGAGGATTTCTCGGTTTTCGCACACTTCTCCGTTCTCGCAGCCCTGGAGGTGGAGCCTGGTCGCTCACGTGGTCCCTGGGGGAGCTCTGGGTGATGTACGTCCCAGTACTTTTTTGGGTATAGAGGGTTGCGGCGAGCGCAGTAACAGCTCCCAAGTATTCATCGATCACCAAAATCGAATATGCTATTGTTTTGACAGGTAGGCCCTAGGATGCTAGAGCCGTAGGTGTGAGACTCAGGTGTATTATGGTTCTTTATGATGTACGAGGCCTCTCATACGGGGTGTGGACCGTGAGTGAGCACAAGTACAAGTGACTGAGGGCCAGTGAGGGCGAGCCCATCGCTGTCACAGCTGTGGCAGCCGCACACAGTAGGCTGTGCCAACTGTGCAGAACGTGTGAGCAGCAGAGGAGCTGCTCTCCAGGCTTCTGTCGCAAAGAGCTGCATGCCACCGAAGGCGCTGTCGAGGTTCGCCGAGTGCGGCGCAGGTTGAGGGACACCGTCACCGACGAGCGCGTTGGAGTATTCACTCCGCCCTCCGGACAAAGACCGCTGCACAGCGGACGGTACGGGCCGTGCAGCGGTCATAGCGGCGAGGCGCGGAGTCTAGTCCTCGCCATGCGCCCCTCAACGCGCCTCCTCGCCGAGGATCTGAAGCACGAGCGGCTTGAGGCCCGCCGCCTTGAGGTCGACACCGAGGCGCGAAGACAGCTCGCGCAGCACCGCCTTGACGGAGACCTCCTCCTCCGCCTCGCAGGCGGCGAGCCGCTCGCAGATGAGCCGCCGGAGCGTCTCCTCGCTCACCGCCGCCCCGCCACCTCCCCCGGAGGCCTCCGCTTCCCCTCCCGCCACGTCGCCCGCCGCGCCGCACTCCCCTCCCTGCCCCGCCTCCGCCTGCGAAACCGCCTCCCCCTGCGAGACACCCTCACCCTCGACTTCCATCGCCGATGCCTCGCCGACGGCGGCCGCCTCGCCCCCGTCGGGCTCCCCGCCTCGCGTCTCCCCGCCTCGCGTCTCCCCGGGGTGGTGCCCTTCGGACGAGCGAGAGAGCAGCACCTCGCGGAGGATGGAGCCCATCAGCCCCGCGTGGCTGTCCCTCGCGCCGTCCGCCTGCGCCCCTCCCTCGCCCAGCAGCGTGTGCTGGCTGAGCACCTTCTTCGACGCGATGGCGAGCACCTTCTCGTCGACCGTCCCCTCGGTCGCCAGCGTAATCACGCGCACGGGCCGCGTCTGCCCGATCCGGTGCACGCGGTCCATCGCCTGCTGGTCGACGGCCGGGTTGAAGTCCACGTCGTGCAGGATCACCGTGTCCGCCGACGTGAGGTTGATGCCGAGGCCGCACGCGCGCGTCGAGAGGAGCAGGCAGCTGATCGACACGTCGGCGGTGAAGTCGTCCACGATGGTCTGCCGCTCCTGCGGCGAGACGGCGCCGTCCATCCGGCGGTAGGCGATGCCGAGGCTGTGCAGCAGCTCCTCGAGGACGTCGAGCGTCTGCGTCCACTGCGAGAAGATGAGCGCGCGGTGCCCCTCCTACAGCCTCGGTACAATCTCGGCGTGAGCTCGCGTCCTCTGCGAGGAGGAGGAGCGCGGCGGGGGAGCGCGGAACGGCGCCTCGACGAGGGGCGGGAGGAGCGAGGCGAGCTTCTGCGCCTTGGCCGAGCCGAGCAGCGAAGCGCTCGGCAGGCAGAGCGAGCGGAGCGCCGAGTAGGCCTTGCAGTTGAGGTGGACCTGCGGCGAGGGGCGGTCGGGCGGTCGGGCGGTCGGGGCGGGGGCGAGCCGGAGCGGGCCTTGCAGCGGCGGGTGGACCTGGATGTCGGACCACGTCTCCAGCTCGGCGAGCACCATCTCGGAGGTGCACTCGTCGCCAAAGGCGCCCTCGCAGTGGAGCGCGTGCGCGATCCGCGGCAGCAGCGGGCGGTAGTGGCGGAGCAGCAGCAGCGGGTGCTGCGCCGCCTTGCGCAGGTCGGTGAAGGCGCTGGCGATCCATCCCCGGTCCCTGCCGTCCACCTCCTCCTCGCAGCCCGCGTCGAGCTCCGCGCGGTCGGCGGCCTTGCGCCTCGCCCACCGCTCGAGCGTCTCGCGCTGCTGCGCCGCGATGCGCGCCACCGTCTCCGAGTACGCGGCTCCCTGCGCGGGCGGCATGCGCACCACCGCAACCTCCTCCGTCTTTGGCGGCAGCGCGCTGAGCACCTCCTGCTTCAGCCGCCGCAGCACGAAGGGGCGCATCAGCTGCTGCACCTGGACGAGATACAGCCGAGATACAGCCGAGGTGCGGCCGAGGTGCAGCCGAGAGATCGCCGGCATCAGCTGCCGCACCTTGGCCACCTTAGGCGCGCACGCGACGCCGTCGCCCTTGCCGACGCTGCTGAAGAGGGCGGAGAGGGAGGCGCGCGATCCCTTGCCCGAGGCGGTGAAGAGGCGCGGCGCCACGAAGGAGAGCAGCGTGAGAAGCTCCGCGGGGTTGTTCTCGACGGGCGTGCCGGTGAGCAGCAGCCGGTGGCACGCCTCCACCTTGGAGACGTTCTGGTGCACGTTGCTCTTGTCATTCTTGAGCTTCTGCGCCTCGTCCACGACCAGGTACGACAGCTTGCCGCGCGCGCCGACGCGGCCGAGCTTGCGCTGGAGGAAGGCCTATGGGAAGGCTCCAGGTACGTTCCAGGCAGGTTCAGGAAGGCTGCATGCAGTCGGGCTTGCGCTGGAGGAAGGCGCCTGCTCCTGCCTCGCCCGCTCGCTCGAGCCCGAGAAGGCGGTGATGCCGCAGACGACGACGTGCGGCGGCTCCTCATCGCTGCGCCGCGAGAAGCTGCTTCGGACCGCGGCCTTGGTCGCCTCGTCGCCGTGGAACTTGACGACCCGCAGAGCGGGGCACCACATCGCGAACTCTCGCATCCAGTTCTCGAGGGTGGCGACCGGGGCCACGACGAGGTGCGGCCCCTCGTCGCCCTCGCCGAGCAGCTGCGCGAGCAGTGAGATGGTCTGCACCGTCTTGCCGAGCCCCATCTCGTCCGCGAGGATGCCGCCCGTGCCGTGCTGGTGGAGGCCGTGCAGCCAGGACAGCCCGATCAGCTGGTGAGGCTTCATCGCGAGCTCGGAGCTCATCAGCGGAGGCTGACGAAGCGAGTCCCCTTGGCCGCCGGGGCCACCGGCGCTGTCCTCCTCGAGCAGCGGCTTGAACTTCTCGCGGATGCGCGTGGCGACGCCCTCGCACTTGCCAATCACCTTGTCCAGCCCCGCCTCGGCCTCCGCATCCGAATCCGCCTCCGACTCCGCCTCCGACTCGGCCTCCGCCTCGGAGGCGCTCTGCGGGCAAGACCGCTTGCTACGCGCCTCGGACGAGCCGCCCTCGGCCGCAGCACGCTCGCGCTTGCCACCGCCGCCGCCGTCCGCCTCCGGCTCGCGCTTGCCACCGCCGCCCCCCGCCGGCTCGCGCTTGCCACCACCGCCGCCCGCCGCCGGCTCGCTACCGCCCTGCGCCTTTTGCAGCCGCAGAGTCTCGAGCGCCCGCCGCCGCTCCTTCCTGACGGCGTCGTCCACTCGCGAGGCCGCCTTGGGCTCGAGCTCCTCGGTGCGCTGGCGCATCAGCGCAGCCTCGCGCGTCTCCTCAAGGCGCTCACCCGCCGACGACACCCAGACCCCGGTCGGCGAGCGCTCCCAGGACACGCCCTGCTCCTTCTCCCACCACTTTGCGTGCCGCACCCACTTGTCCAGCTTCGTGCGCACGTCCTCCCTGACCGTCACCGCCCCGCGCTTCACCTGCTTGGCGCACTCGAGCAGCAAGTGCGAGTTGATGCGCCCTGCCGCATCGCGGTACGCCAGCTGCCGCGTGTCGGGGAGGAGAAACCGGGTGCCTTTGAGAGCGGCGATGTCGATCGTGCATAGCGGCGCGTTGGAGAACTCGGGCGCCATGGGCACGCTGACACACACACGCCTCGGTCCGGTGTTGCGGAATCCGTTGCGAAGGCGGGAGACGGACTAGAGAAAAGAATCTCAAACCCCGGCACGACACTGCGCACGGGACTGGCGCGCACTGGCACTAACACAGGTACACCACGGGAGCCGCCTAAGCGACTCCTGCGAGGACGGCGAGTGCTGGAAAAGAAAGATTGGCGTGCGCTACCTCGACTTTCTTCTCTCTCCCCTCCGACGAACGTACGAGTAAACACCGACTTCATTATCACAATCGGTGTCGGCGCCGTCGTCCGCGACACTGAAGGCAAAGCAACATATATCACCTTCCTACCCCCCCATCGCCCCCCCTCTCCCCGAGCCTCTCGCGCCTGCCGCCCAGGACTGCCTGGGCGGATGCCGGCCAGCACGATGCAGTACGGCACGGTGGACGCGTCCGGCGTCCTAAGCGGGGACGAACGAGGGTCCCTGAGTGGTGACGCCGTCGCCGAGTGGGAGTGTGTGTCGTCGTGTGTCCATGTCGGGTGTTCGGACACGTTTACTTTTATTTACGGCCCCTTCCTTCCCTGCGAACGCGCACCCCCCAGGGCTAGGTAGGGCTCTCTTGCCCGCAACCCGATCGATACCAATCATCTGTCTGTCTGGCCCGCTGGGTGCGCTTCTTAGCTCCCCGGCCCTGGATGTGCGGTTAATGACTGCACTCCAAGTGCTCCAAGTCCCCGGCAGACGGCGGACGGGCCCCCCACACGGGTAGGGATAGTGAGTACTAAGGTGAGGTAAACTTCATCACACAACCCTTCTAAGCGTGCAAAGGCCCGCGGGTGTGAGCGCTACCTGGTGCCCCCCCCCCCCCCCCTCTCTGGAGATTCTCTGCCTTCCCGCTTCCACACCACAAGCTCTGCAGCTGAGCTCCCTCCCCCCCCTCGAGCCTCGTCTCCACGCGAACATCTCATCTCACGTCTCTGTCGAGAGTGTCGTCTGTTGACTGTGTGCGACTTCTCTTTTTGGCATGGTCCATTTCGGATGACTCTTGACCGGACTGCAAAATTATAATTTCCGTAACTCTCCTCTTCCCACTTCCGTTTTCGCGCCTCGGTGCTCTCTGCCCATCTCTCACTCCGTCTCTCGTCTCCTCCTCTCCTGCGTCACCTGGACTAATACTGGAAGCTGCTCCACACAGCGCACCGCGGCGAACCGTCTCAACTGTACACACCGAAAGGAATCGCAAATTTACACGCGCCCAGCGGCATGCCGCCGGCCGTCGTTCTCGCTCGCTGCTTAGTGGGAGGCTCGACGCACGGCGTGCGGCATGACAAAACCGCGCCACGCGTCGACCACTGCGAGCTCCTGCCCCTCGAACGCCTCGAGGCGCGACAGGAGCCAGCCGATCCGCGCGAGCTCGAAGGCGCGCTCCCGAGCGCGCCGCGGGAACAAGCTGTGCGATTCGGGCGACCACGGCTCGGCGGCGAGCAGCACGAGCTGCGCGGCCGAGCCCTCGGGCGCCAGCCCCCGGTCGGCGAGGCGCGCGGCGAGCGCGGCGGGCGTCACGCCGCGCTCGCGGTGCGAGGCGTGCGGGTCCGCGCCGTCGCGCAGCAGCTGTCGCGCGCGGCGAGCCGGCAGCACCTCGAGGTGGTGGAGGGGCGTGGTCCAGTCGGCGGTCGCGGAGAGCCAGCTGGCGAGAGGGAGGTTGCGGTGGAGCAGCGCGACCTGCGCCGGCGTGATGGGCTGCCCGCCGTACGCAGGCGCGAGGAAGGGGAGGGTGCGGTCGGCGCCGTACGCGCAGAGCAGGTGCGCGAGGTGGACGGATCCGGTGTACGATGCTGCGTGGAGCGGTGTGGGCTCGCTCTCCACGCCGCGCTTGTTGGCGCTCGCGCCGGCCTCGAGCAGCACCTGCGGCGTGCGGCGGCGACTCAGCAAGCCAGGGCCGGCGCCGGGTGCGAGCGAGACGAGGCGGGCAGGGGAGGCGGGAGGCGGGAGGCGAGACTCCGGGGCGAGGGCGCCGGGGCGAGACTCCGGGGCGGGGCGAGTGTGCCTGCGCCGCGGCGGCGTGCTGCGCGAGGACCGCCATGTGGAGAGGGGAGAGGCCGCGGCTGGCCACGCGATCGACGTCCGCCTTCGCCTCGACCAGCCTGGTGAGCACTGCGGCGTGGCCGTGGTCCGCCGCCTCGTGCAGCGGCGTCACGCCCGACCGGGCGCCGCTGTCCACCACAGCGCCCGCGGCGAGGAGGGCCGCGACGGTCTCCGCGTGGCCGTGCGCGGCGGCGGCGTGGAGCGAAGTGGAGCCAACCTTGGTCGCCGAGTCCACCTCGGCGCGCGCGGCGAGCAGCTGCTGCAGGACGGCGGTGTGGCCGAAGGCAGCCGCCGCATGGAGGGGCGTGGCGCCGTTGTCGCGCGAGCGAGTGGGGGTGGCGTTGCTGGCGAGGAGGGCGGCCACCACCTGCAGCGGGGCGACGGGGAGACACATTGTTTGTCCGAGGGGGGCGGTGGGGGGGGCGGAGGCCGTGGGGGGGTGGGGGGGGGGGGGTCCCTTTGTTTTTCTTTTGGGGGGGGGGCAAGGGCGGGCTCTTTAAAGGGGCACCGAACGCCTCTGCGTGGCCCTGGCCGGCGGCCCCGAGCAACGCCGCCATTTCGTGGTCCTCGCCC